CTTATATATTTAGAAACAAATATTTTGAAATATCTATTGTTTTCTAAAATATCGTATGCTGTTCTATATTGATTTTATTGTCTAAGTTCGTGAAGTGGTTATTGAGTAAATGAGTAGTAACAGAGAAGGTAGCGTATGATACGACAAACATGTACGAGTTGTTATTCTGGTCTGTATAAGTTGTATTGAGCATTTGTTCGTCAAAACACATATACACACCTGTTTTGTACAAAAGGGTGTACTTTTCATACAGTATTTTTCGAAACAGATCAACGCTTTGTTCAGACAATTTCTCTGTACTTGGTGTAGAGTCATGTCTCATCGCGTGCTAGAAGTTGTAGTGCGTCAAATTGTTTGACTGTCCAAAAGTGGTATGAAGCAAACAGACATTGCCAGAACAGTAGGGCACCCTAGTGTACTGTATCCAAAATCCTGAAACGTCACTGGAATACAGGAAACATTGTTCCAGGAAAGTATACTGGTAGAGGCCGAAAAAACTACTGACCGTGTTTTGATAAAGTTAACATGTCAAGGTCGAAAGAAGTCATGCAACACATTATGAAGGAATGGTATGAACACATTTATTCCGTGGTATCCAGAAGAATAGTGAATAGGAGACTGACCAAACAAGGTTATTTTGCAATAAGGGCTATCTGCAAATCGATACTAACCAGAATTCACCGTCGTCACCATGTTACTTGGGCAAGACAACATGCTAACTTGCAGTTAGGACACTGGCGACATGTCATCGTTTCAGGTGAATCCTGTTTCCGCCTTGTTAAAGCTTATGGTAAGATTCGTGTTCGTTGTTTGCCTAGAGAAAAGGTGAGGAAAGACTATTTTTCTCACTGGGAACACGCAGGAGGTGATGCAGTACATGTTTGGGCAGCTATTCATCATGGTGGAAAAACTGCTCTTCATATCCTCCAGGGAAATATCAATGGCGCCTCCTACAGGCATCACATGGAGACAAAATTTCTGCCATATGCTAGGGCAAGGTTTGGCAATAACTTTGTATTTAAAGATGACAATGCCATTTGCCCACAGTGTACATATTGTACAGGATTATCTCAACCAGGAGGACGTTACAAGATTACCATGGCCAGCAAAGTCTCCAGATTGTAATCCCATAGGGAACTGTTGGGCAGAACTGAGCCAGCTATTGTAGCTGAGTTGCAACGCCTTCTAGTGACAAATTCGGATGAAATCACGGTGGATTACATCAAATAAGCATGCCATGTCACATTACAGAGATTATTAGAGTACGAACAGGACCAACCAGGTACTGAATGTTTAATATGAACTGATATAAGGTTACAAACACTATTTGTAAGAATTTGATGCTATATTTGTCATTATATGTGTTTTGGTAAGGTTTTGTTGTGATAGGTGAAATGCTGAATATGCATCTTCCTACAGATGTGTGATAAAATTATTTGTTGTTCTAATAAATCGTTCATGATGTCCATAGAATCTGTCTCATTATACAAATTACATATGTAGATGTTTAATATGGCATACATTTCTCAATTTGACAGTGCTAAGTGTATTTGTATTCCATCTTAATAATAATGATCTTATTTGTTAAAAGACTGTATGATAGATGAAGAGCCAACTAAATAAAATATATTGAGTTCTTATTATCGCTTATAAGTTTAAATTATAATATAAAAAAAGCATGTTAATGAGTTACTCAGCACATTGTGGTATTTAGGCATACCATACGTTTTCTACTTGATAGAGGGGATATTACAACACCATTTCACATTGGTGTTGAAAGGATTGCCGACAGTAATATCCTTTGCTAGCCGAGTAGATGATGTCTGCATGTTATAGCCAACGAATACTATGAGAGAACAAGAGTCACGATGCGTTTTACTGGAAAAAAAACAAGGATACCTGTTGGATTGAAGCTCCATTTCTTGGTTCAGTTCTATCTCGAAATCTGTTTGTTCAGTTCATTTTGGAGATCAACGTGTTTAGCTCTACAAAGTCTTATCTTGAGAGGGAGAAAACTGTATACCCAATCACGATCCGTTATAAGCTGGGGAGAAAACTGTATACCCAATCACGATCCGTTATAAGCTGGGGAGAAAACTGTATAGCCAATCACGATCCGTTAAAAGCTGCAATTCTATTGTCTGCAAGTAAGCACGTTGCATTTTCCTTTTGTTTAGTTGTACTCAATATATATATATATATATATTAAACTTGTCCAATTTCATTATTTCAAAACTCAGTCACGTTTTGCAGTGCAAATTACTTCGTAAATTTCTTGGTCGACCCTATTGTTGTTAGTGGGTCTACCTTCGTAAATTAGTTTTACCTGATACTTGCTTAACTTCTAAAGTTCGTATGCTCTGATTCCTTGGGAGGTTTTGTTTACAATACGTTGATATTCGTGTTCGTGATTGAATATATAGTATGTGTTTGGAAGAGGGACGTGACTTTAAGCCGCTGCCCGTGTGAATGTGGAATATCTGTTGTAATAATCCTTCGAATTTAATTGCTTATTGTGTTCCTTTGTCAATTCCAATAGAACAAGTGAAAGCTTACTACATAACGATAAATTTCAGCATTAGGTTCCAGCATAAGTACATTATTATTTCTTAATATTTTAATCGTCTTATGATCAGGCCAGAACAGGGGGGGGGGGCAGTTGGCATGGGCCTACGATTTTGAGGGGGCCTACTTCCGAATACAGAATAAACATGAATGTATTTACTGCTTCTTCTTACACTACTGTACTCTATTGTCTTATATACATTTTGAATAAAATTACTTGCTATTACCTTCTTTATAAATCATTCTAGTTCTTTTATTCGTTTCTGTTACTTGTAAGTACATCATGTACATGTATATACCCACACATAAATCATATGTATTTAGCACTGATTACAAAAATACTTAATGAGCAGTTTGAATTGGGGCCCACATTTCCCATCTGGCCTGGGCCTATTACCATCTTTGCACGGGCCTGCTTATGATAGTTTGCCTTTTTTTTTAGCACAAAGCTGTACAATAATAGGCTATCTGTGCTCTGTCCATAATGGGGAGTCGAATCCCAGATTTTAGCGTTGTAACTCTGTGAACTTATTGCTAAGCAACTTGGGAGGGGAGACACATAACGTTGCGCTTCTTCTTTCTGCGTTATTCTTGAATTTGGGTTTTCATTTTATGCATCTAATTGTCAAAGTACTGTTGCATCATCGAGGTCACGTGACTGGTGTGGCGCCCTCTATTTTCTAGAACTATCTTGTTTTTTCATGAATGCTCTAGTATTTACTAGCTAGGGTAGGCGGGTATATAAAAGAGGGGAATGTAATGCGTGTGTGAGTAGACAGTGAGTAATTGAACTGCAGTCGGAGAGCACGAGAGACGTTACAGCGTTTGTTTAGCGCGATTGTTGAAGTTGAATGTATCGGTAAAGTTATATTCGGAAAGAATAAACCAG